CTATATTTATTCATTGGATAGCCCAGTGTATAACTACCTCATCATTCTCCATCCCACTCAATGGCTGTTTGGTTTTTTCAAAGGAAAGAGATGTATTAGGCAAGGTGATCCCTTATCCCCCATGTTGTTTGTCATTGCAATGGAGGTGCTGATACGATGTGTTAATAGCTACATTAAGAATAATCCTATGTTTAAGTATCACTGGAGATGCAAGAAGCTGTCAATCACATACCTCACATTTGCAGATGACATTATGATGTTTTCTTATGCTAACTTGTCCTCAGTCCAAGTGTTGATGGATGTTCTAAACCAGTTATACAATATTTCTAGTATGCAACTTAATAGAGCAAAGTCCAAAGTGTTCTTCTCAGGGGTGGACAATGTTTGGAAGGCTGGCATTTTAACTCTACTCCAATTTGAAGTTGGCTCACTACCTGTTATATACTTAGGCCTACCTTTGTCATCTTCTTTAATCAAGGCAAGAGACTGCCAAACCTGTAATACTCCTAATTTTAAAGGATAATCTCAGTATTATTTTAAATGTTTTAATTGCATTTTTATTTATTTACTTGATTATTTCGCTATTTGATTACGTATTTAATTGAGTTGGTTAATTGCATTTTTATTTATTTACTTGATTATTTGGCTATTTGATTATGTGTTTAATTGAATTGGTTAATTAAATATTTTATTTGCTTAAATGTTTTATTTGACTTAACTGACTAATTGAAAGTATGTGCTTGAATGACATTTGAATTAGTTAATTTAATTGATGTGTTTGTTTATTTGTAATTAATTGTAGATTCAATAATTAAATATTTATTTTGTATCGTTTTATTTTATTTTATTTTATGGATATGGTGAGTAGCAATGAACCAACCAATTGGGTCACATGTACTACTTGGATATGAGGTTTAATGGGTAAGGATAATTACCCATTAATAGTTTTATATATATATATATATAAGGAAAGCAATTTATTAATTAATATTATTGTAACTTAATATTAATAATCTGATGTATATATTTTTATATTTGTATAATAAGGATATACATAGATTATATACGTAACATATTTTTTGTTACCCATGGATAGTTTTATATATATATATATATATAAGAAAAGTAATTTATTAATTAATATTATTGTAACTTAGTATTAATAATCTGATGTATATATTTTTATATTTGTATAATAAGGATATATATAGATTATATACGTAACATATTTTTAGTTACCCATGAATAGCTTATGTACTTAACTTAGTATTAATAGCTTATGTACTTAATATATATATAGATATATATATGAAAGGAAAGTAATTAATTAATTAATATTATTGTAACTTAATATTAATAATCTGATATATATATTTTATATATTTGTGTAATAAGGATATACATAGATTATGTACTTAATATATTTTTAGTTACCTTTTAATATTTTAGTTTTATTATTTTCTTTTATTAAGTTAATTTGGATTGGGAAAATGATTAGGTTATTTTATTTAGCCTATAAATATAGGTTAGTAAAAGGGTGCTAGAAATTAAATCACGTAGTATATTTTAGAGGAAAAAGGCAGAGAGTTTAGAGAGAGAAAAAATGAAGAAAAAGAAGGAAAAGAGGAAGATGGAGGTTATGATTTTTATCAAAATTCTTAAGACAAGTTCTTTTCTTCTCTTCTCATTTGATTCAGATTATATATATGCTAGATTAGTTTCAGAATTATTTAATTAAATTAATTGAACCTAATTGCTTGATTAAAACTGAAATGTCAGTGTATGTATATATGTAATGGGTTTGTGTATATACTTGGTTATTTGGACAAATTGATGCATGATGTGTGTTCTACAATATTTAAATAATGTTTATGAACTGAGGTGGAATTATTGGGACGTTCTGGGAGGTTGAACTGTTATTAAATCTATTTTAATGATTTTAAATTGTTAAATTATATTTATGGAGGATTTTAAAAACATGATTTAAGTACACATGTTAAGTATGAAATTTAATTAATTTAAAAGGTTAAATTAATTCAACATGGTTGGATTAAATTATTTTAATCAATTATTTGGTTTTAAATAAATTTGATCAAAACGTGGAGGAGTACAATTCTTTGAGGTGCATGTTAATTTTTATGAGATAAATTCAATGCATGCTACTTAGAATTGTTATATTTTGCTAAATTAAATGCAAAGGAATATCTATATGATTTATATCATGTTATGTATGGATTTATTTAATGTGATATCATAACTGTAACATCATTTATGGATTGTATACATTATATGCACCAGTGTGGGATGGTGGCATATTAGGGACGGATTAACTAAAAACTTTAAGTCCTACCTATTCATGTATAACGGAATGGATTAACTAAAATGTTAAATCCTACATATTTTCATGTCAAGTCAACTGAATCAGTTGGATGACATACCGGATATTTATTTATGTTTGGATAGAACAGATTATATATATATATAGTTATATGACATGATATGAACTTGAGTCTGAGGATTATGGTTAGGATGCGTATATTGTCAGGGATGTGTAGCTAGATATAGTGTAGTTGTGTGTCCTGGTAGGACTAGGTACTCATGACCACTATATGTGCGTTTTGCATGTTGCCTACTATTCAGGTTGAGGCAATCCTATAGTCTAGTGAGATTCCTTTAGTATGTGTGTGTGTGTGTGTGTGTGTATATATATATATATATAGGGACTATTAGTTATTGTTGAATTAATTATGATGTATATGAATTCTAAGTCTCTGTTTGAGATGTAGTAAATTAGAACTTATTTGTGGGCCTGATCCATCATTATTTTTCAAGTGTTCGTCAGTTCCAAGCTTAGTGATTGTTCGTGCTGAGCAAAGACAATCTATTCACTCCTCCGTCTTAACGTAAGATTTCCTTATTATTATTTTAGTCAGATATTATTTTATTTCAGTTAGATTTTAGATTAGGGGTCCATGTGATGGATTTCCAAATTATAATTTTAATTAATTACTAGTATCAGAGGATTTTGTTATTAGAGGTTTATTATTGAATTAATTAATGAGGATTTATTAATTAGTATTCTTTCAGCTTTATTCTTTATTCTTATTTCATTTTGTATTATGTGTTCATTTAAATACTTTAACTGTTTGATATTCTCTCGGGTTTGGGCTTGAGCCTAATCAACTCATGTCTCGAAGTCGAGGGGTATCACAAAACCCTTTGTGGAAAGGATTACTACCAGAGTAGGATGTTGGACATCAAGATTCCTATCTTATGCTGGAAGATTTGTTCTTGTTAAATCAGTCCTTTATTCCGTTCAAGCATATTGGTCACAGGCATTTGTGTTCCCAAAGAAGTTTATTGAGCAGATTAATCAGATACTAAGATGTTTTTTCTGGACTGGGGTGGACTTGAAGAACAAGATAGCTAAGGTTGCTTGGCAACCATCTATAGACTAAGAGCCAATGAAGGGCTTGGTTTTCCTGATTTGGAGTTGCTAACAAAATTGCAAATCTAAAGCACATTTGGAAACTTTGCTTGAAGAAGGATAATCTTTGGGTTGCTTGGTCACTCAGCTATCTTTTAAAGACAAAGAGCTTTTGGACAGTAAAAACCTCTAACCTGAGCTCAGGGTTTTGGAGGAAGCTGCTTGGGTTGAGGTCAATGGCAAGAGGGCTCTTAAGACATAGGGTGGGGGTAGGGAAAGATACTAGTCTGTGGTTGGATTACTGGCTACCTAATGGTCCTATTGTGCAACAACTGAGACTCACTGGTATGGAAATTCTTCAACTAGATAACAACATCCTAGTTGATAACCTATTTCCAACAACCAATAGGTACAACCAAGCTCAATACAGCTACACTAGTTCTTTCAATCAAGAAGTTTCATTTTACAAATCCAAGAGCTGCCCCAACCATCATCTAATCTGGATTGTATTGAATGGTTGCCTAGCCCTACCAAAGTGTTCACAATGGCACTCACCCAAAGCTACTTCAACCCTCCCTCCCCAATTTTTCCTTGGCACAAAATAATGTGGTTTAAGCATCATATACCAAAGCATAGTCTTATCTTATAACTAACTGTGAGGGGTGGATTATACACTCTAGATGCTAAATCAGTTCTCCACAAGCATTATACAAACAGATGTTATCTTTGTAATACAGATTGGGAATCCATTGACCATCTTTTCTTCAAATGTGAGTACATTTCACACATATGGAGGTTTATCCAAGAAGTGGCTGGGTTTTACATTATGCCAAACTGCTGGTCAGAGTTGCTTCAGTGGTGCTCATCACATTGGAGTTCATCAAAAATTTTAGTCCACAAACTGTTATGGGCTACAGCAGTGTACTTTATCTGGATGGAAAGGAATGCAAAAGCATTTAAGAATCAATCAACTTCATCACACAGCATCATAGTCCAGGTCAAAATCTGTGTTAGAGCCAGACTTGTAACAATCAAGCTTAGAAGTAGTTCAGAATTGAAGCAGATCACCTCTCTGTCATAGCTGCAGCTTCTCTTCCAGCAGGGTTGTTCCACAGCTTGTGGACAGTCTTGGCTATTATCCTAAAACAATGGGAGGGATGGTAATCTTATTATATATTGCTGAAGGATGCAGTTGCTAGTGTGGCTCTCATCTGGTGCTATGGTTGAAGTATATAGCTATTGATGAGTGAACATGGTTGAAGTATTGATGTAGTTGGAGTTGTCATGTTGGTTTTAGATGTCTGCTGCTTGAAGTTTTCTTTTTTCCCTATTTGGGACATTCTTTCATCTTTATATACAAACTTATCCATTAACTAAAAAAATAATAATAATAAAAAGTCAGAATGAGTATTGCTGCCTAATTGAGAATTGAAGGTTGAAAAAAGATGAAAGTGATATTCAAATATAAAAGAAAAGTTTCAAGCAATATACTTTAAATCTATTATTGAGGCATCAGCTGTATCTGAAAAAATGTCTAGTTTAAAAACTGATCATGTAAGAAAAGTTTTTTTACCTTTGTTGATCTTATATGCTTCAAGGACATCTCCAGTTGATGTTCAAGCTGCTCAAGCTCTTTTGTATTTAGTGAGCCCAAGTCTTCTCCAAGAAGATTTCTGGAGTACTCATGATTTAATAATATGCGAATAGAAAGTGACTCTAACTTCTCATTAGACTTGAAATACAAAACTATGATAATAAAAAATTAATCAAGTAATATTTTTTAAAAATTTATAATTATATATAAAATTTGCACATTTTTAAAAACAATTTAGTGTGCATGTAGTGGAAATTAATGAAGTACCTCTGATATTGTTGGAGGACTTCAACTCTTGCCTTAAGCCTCAGATATTCATGGTAACCATTCTGCCTCGATCAGGAGATAATTAATAGCCATTAAGCCAAAAAAAAAAAAAAAAAGAAACAAAAGGAATTCATGAAGAGAGATTATGGTGAGTTAAAGTAAATGCATTCACACAGTTGCAGCATACCCTAAACAAAAAATTAGGCTGAAGGTGAGTAAAGGGCATTGAATCCATATGTCAGTAATATTCAAAAATTTAAAAACCCTAAATTTATGGGTATGAATGTCCTGACTACAAACAAAATTACCTGGCTCTCATTCACTGGTTGGTTGGCTTCGAGTGCACTGTAACTGCACCTCTGGTACTTTTCAAGAGTTTTGAGCATGCTAAAATGAAAGGAAGAAAGAGCCACAGTGAGAACTTTATTGAGGTTATCCAAAAGTTGGCGAATGAATAGTACAAAAACTTCTAAGGTAAAACATACAGTTATACATATCTTTTATCAACAAAGGTAAGTATGGTTGAAATCACATTTTTAACCTTTACAAAACCTCTATACTTAATACGTATAAGCAATTTCATGCTATGTAGACAAATACAGTAAAACATGGAATCTTAATTGGTTGTAGCTTCAACCTTTGTATAGTCCATGCAGCTGGGGCTTTCTTTGTATAGTTCTTCTATGTTGTGAACTTCACAATTCATAATGATGAATTGATAATTACCTTGCAATTCATGCCACTGATTTGGGATTGATAAGCTTTCATACTATGCGTGCTTTTGCGTTTGTTCATGCACACATGTAACAGCTAAAGATGGAGTGAATCTCCTTATTAACACGAAAAGACTTGGGTGTTATTTGATAGCACAGTTTAATACTTAATTTTGAATGGATTAAAAGCGTGTATTTTGATCATTTTGTATAATTAACTCGAAAAACTTCAATATTTTATATAATTTTTTATGATCATTTTGCATTGACTTTGTGCAAAACAATGCCAAAAAACAAGTATTTCTCCAATTTTATCTGCCAATTTAATTCTTTGATAGGATCAAAGTAATAGCTTTTCAAGGCCTTGATGCACTCATGGAAATCATCAAATAGTTTTTATAGCAGATTAAGTGATCATATTAGATAAACATAAAGAAGGCTAATTTTAGGAGGCAAATTAAGGATTTGCAATCACATGCATGGCATATTATATTTAGGCTATTTAGCCAAAATGAGAATTTTAAGATGGATGATGTGAGCGAATAAAAAATATAGAGTTACAAATCAAAGTGTGAGAGAGAAATTAGGTGTGGCACTCATTAGTGACAAGATTAGAGATAATAGACTTACATGGTATAGACATATAAACAGAAGACATAGATGCAGATAAAAAAAAGGGAAGGGATAATTTGCATAGAGGGTAGGAGGCAGAGAGTGAAACAAATATGGAATGAAATCAGTAGAAATGACTTTAAAAAGTTAAATATTAGAGGAGAGATGGCTTGTAATAGAAAAGAATGTAAAAAAAGAATTCATGTAGCGGATCACATATAAATGAGATTAAGGTAAGGATGATGATAAAAGGATAAAAATAATAATAATAATAATAATAATAATAATAATTTATGTGGTGTTATAAAGTTTTTTTTTGTTTTTTCGAAGTTGCAAGTCTATAAGATGTATTTGGGAAAAAAAAACTTACTTCCGAAAAATAAGTTCTGTTTTTTTTTCAATATACTAGTATATTAATTCCAGGTACTAGCCATAATATTTGCAGATCGATCCAAATCAAACAATAGATGTACAGCTGCACTTTTCAGATGATAACTATAGTCGATTCATATTCACAATTAAATTAATAATCATGATGGCAATAATAATAATAATAATATAAAATTATAGTAACAATAACAATAGAAAAGGAGGTTGTTAGGAAAGACAACTCCAGAAAATTATTTTATATGAGTTTTATAGGGCTTGTAGATATACTTGCAGCCTTAGAACCAAAGTACCAAACAGGCAGCTGCCATTTTCTTTCTCTTCCTGAAAACAATTCTTTAATGAACAACAAAGTGCAGCAGGACTCATACTGCAAACATCACATCGATCTGTAAATCAAATCTTAACAGTGAATCGATTTTAATATTAGTCTTCTCTTATCCATTAAAATATCAATTAGGCCAGAGGTACAGTACCCTTCTTCATGTAATTACCCAATAAAACTAGTTACACTCATAAACAACATTTCTATATCTCAAATCATATAATCCAACTAAAAAAACCTCAACAAGCTCATGTAATAACCCGCAAAACTATATACGTACAACATTAAATACATTTCTTTTAGGGAAAACAAAAATAGCAAATATTTTAGGGGGAAAATAAAAGAGGATCCATTTCTTATACAAATATAAAATAAAATTAAAAAATAGGTCAAAACAAGAACTGCACAAATTTAGATAATTCAAGCAAAAAAAAATGTTACTAAAAAAAAATATTGTGGTGAAAGGATCAAAGATATACAGATCTTGCAGAAAAACAAACTAAAACACTTATATAAGAACAAATCTAAAAAATAAAAATAAAAAATAAAAAAAAAAAAAAAAAAAAGAGAGCAATTGCAAAATGGTCATGTATATAACAAGTATGTTTATACACACATTTATACATATATATGTGTGTGTGTGTAGGTGAGTGTGTGTGGTGTGTGTGTGTGTGTGAGAGAGAGGGAGAGAGAGAGAGAATATATACCTAGAGCTACTACAGAACTCATAAAGCTTGTCACGACTAGAGAAGATGATGAGAGCAACCTCAGCGTCACAGAGGACAGAGAGCTCATAAGCCTTCTTAAGAAGTCCATTTCTTCTCTTGGCAAATGTGACCTGCCTGTTGATTTTGTTCTCTATCCTCTTCAGCTCTACTCTTCCTCTCCCCATTACTCTTTTTCTCTCTCTAAATATTTCTTTCTCTCCCTCTAAATGTAGCTAGGTATACTTTCTTTCTCTCTTTAGATATATATATATATATATATATATATATATTCTACTCTTAGTTAAGGGTTGAACCACTTTAAGAAGTGTCTGTGTGTTTGAGGGCACCAAAAGAGATAAGAAAACAGTGTGGGAATAAAGTAGAGAGAGAGAATTGGAAACCCTGGTGGGTTAGAGTAGCTATCTTAGGTTACCTTGTTCTATCTGGTCCTTTCCTCAGTTCAGTTAAAAATCCAGGGTTTTCCACTGAATCCAAACTAATTGTACGGACTCGATCACCTGAACATTATTAAAAATATTAATGTGTTATATAGGTAAATATGTACGGTTACACAAGCATCCATATATTAATTTCTTTATTTATTTACTTGTGTATTGTTTTACTACTTTGTAATGTCCATAGGACATCAAGAACAACCTTAGAAAGTGGCATTTTAGATCTTTGGATTTACACGTGTCGACTCCACATTTTTTGGTGCCTGAAAACTAACTCATTTAGATTCCTTAGATTAAAAAAATTTATATCACTCCACCATAAGTAAAAATTTCTTTTTATTTTACTTTACAGCTATCAAGTATTAAATTATTAATTACTTATAAACATAGTAATTTATATCGTTGGCTTGACATCTGAAGGGCAAGTGAATCACAACACCATTTTACATTGCAATAACGCAAAATGTTGTTTTAATTCTTTAAAGAATTAATTTTAAACAATTAAAACCTTTTACAATATCAATCACTTGGTGTTCCAGCCCTACTAAGAACTTTTTATTATTATTATTATTATTATTATTTTTTTTTTTTGGGTAAGAATTCACACATATATTTTTATAAATTATCTCCAAAGGGACTCAAACCGTTACCTCTCTTGAAAGAGTGGAGAAGTCATGTGCTAATGATCCATTGATTAATAAGAACAATATTATGTAAATTTATTATTGTTACACTTCTTCTTCATAATCTTTTGTGGGAATCGGGTTTTTGTCAATGCCATGCTCAATTTTATTTATTTATTTATTATTATTATTATTATTATTTATTTTTTTTTGGCAACAATGCTATGGTCATTGGATTAACTAGTTATCTATGGCTCTATGCACGTTACTCTTGTCAAATTTCAAGTAAAATAAGAGTCCAAGATCAACGTGTATCCAATCAATATATAATATATAATACATAAGTTTCACCTATAGTATATATTATTCGGAGTATAAATATAATATCTTAATTGCTTTTCTCTCAAGTATGTAATTCAATGGTGTGTTTTGAAAAAATAATCAGACAAAAAAAATATTACTCCTTCGATAATATTTGTATAAAGGGTAGTTATGATATTATAAAATAAGGGATAGTGCATTAATGAATTCAACGTCTTGTCATTTCGTTAAAATAAAAAAATAAAAAAAGTGAAGTGCAATGGGAGAAAAGGTGAGTGCGAATATGGCCTCCCTTAATTCAAAACCATAATCTCCATATTTTAGTTTTCAAATTCAATATTACCCATACGTAACAATAAGAGCTAATTACCAAAAAAATAAAAAAAACTGGGCTCACTTCACCTCTCTTAAACAAAAAAAAATTACAACAAAATTTTATTTTATTTTATTTTTTTTGTTAACTTACAACAAAATTTTCTAACAGAATCTCGGTCTTTTTTTTTTCCTTCGTTTTTCAAGTTGAAGGGAAAAACAAAAAAGACTGAGGAATTACTTTTATCTCTTGATGGATTAGGATTTAAGTTAATAATTTCAAGTATTATTTGTTCAAATTAAAATATATATTGAGGTTAACAAGTTTAGGTTTTTTCTATCTTTAATCCTGCAATTGCAGGGTTACTGTTTGAAAATAAGGAAGTTAATTGAAATGGGTAGTCGAAAAAGTTGTACATGTCTTCAACTTATTCGGTGCTTTATAAAAATTGGTTGAACATTTTTCTATTTAATTTTTTTAAAATATTTTTGCATATTAAATATTAGAATGGCATTTTGGAATTTTTTTCCTATCGTTATTACGACAACTCACATTATTTGATGAAATTAAATGCATTAAAAATAATAATAATAATAAAAAAGCCAATTGTTAGTATTATAATAAAAATAATAATAATAATAATAATAAATTGTTGCAATATAATCTCGATGATGAACTTTTTGAGCTATATATATAGACACCAAAATGGTGTCCAATGCCTTGTGTTCTGTTTATTTTGGTAGCTAATTACTTTCTTTATAACCTAGTGGAGTTACAATTTTATAAACTCTTCTTGCCTTTAAAAGTCGTACTTCCTTCGTTCATAACAGCGTTATTTCTAACTCTGGAAATGTTAAAAAATTTCTGGTAATTCTAGGAAATGTTAACATCTTAACTGCTTTGTCGATTGTAGTTCCATAATTGGATGCATAATTAATAAGGGTCAATTGTCGAAAATATCTAAAGTAGGTTTATATTGCATATCACGTCTATCACAGGTAAAAAAACAGGTCCATGTGACAAATTTAAATTTTAAATTGACTAAATTACCCTTATTGAACCATTTTATAAAATATATAAAAATAAATAATTTTATAAAATGACTGAAAATGACACAATTGGAGGATACCACAAAAAGCAACCCTAAAGTTTTAATTTAGTATAAATAGGTCCTTCTGACAAATTTAAACCCTAAGTTGACTAAATTATCCTTATTGAACCATTTTATAAAATATATAAAAATAAATAATTTTGTAAAATGACTGAAAATGACACTAATTAAAAACACCGGCAATGGACAAGTAAAGATAAAAATAAAAAATAAAAGTATAAAAGTAAAGAAAAGATAAAAATAGAAAATAAAAAAAAAGAAAATAAAGTGCAAACAAAATAAAACAAATCTGCTCTAAACTCACTTTTTTTTTTTCTTTAAAAAAATAAAATAAAATAACTTCTTTTTTTTTTTTTTTTGTAGAAAATAGTAAACTGAAATCTCAACAAATTCAAATCCTTATTCTACAAATTCTCAAATTTCAAAAAAAAAAAAAATAAATAAATAAGATTTAGAGATATGCATTGAGAAAAAAGATTTATTTTTTTTTTTTTTTAAAAAAGAAGGTAATGTGCACATAACACTCCTATACTACGATATTAGTAACATATATATCTTCTTGGACATTTTCGGAAGAGTAAAAGGGCAAAACAAATATTACAACACTAATTTATGTCAAGAAGGGTATTTTTGCACAATGTGAAAAGATTAGAGGTGTTTTTTGTACACTTTTTCAAATAGAGGTAAAAGTGTTACGCGAAATATACTTTATGAGTGTTTTCTGTACTTGTTCCTAATTTAATAAACTATCAAGATTAAAAAATAAAAAAATTATGTCTCTGCCTTCATTAAAACCTTTTATAACTACAAATGTTAACTATGCCACACATGTAAACATAGTAATAAGCCTATGGCTCATTTTTCATTAAACATTTACTAAAAATCACAGGAAAAGATTTATTGATAAGGCAAATTCATCAAAGGACTTGGAAGCCTCAATATAATTTGAGGCCTTAGGTGAAAAAATTAAAATAGCTTTTTCATAGAAATTACCCATATGTCGATGCTAGTAATATGTCCATTAAAGTGGTTTTGTGTTTTTTAATTTAGCAATAAAAAAATTTCAATCTCCATTTCCATCATTAGTTAACTGACTATGTGTTTTTTAGTAGACATATTCAATAGTATAAATAAAAATGATGTCAACTCACGAACAAAATACATAATTTTATGATAACAAAAATTAATAAAACTATAAACTAATTTTCATTATAGAACAATAAAAACTTATTTCGAAGAATTTGGAACAAAATGCTTCAACAAATTATTCAATAAAATAAAAGTGAATCCAAAATCTCCGTGCTAGTGAGATTGTAAATTGTAAGAGTGGAGAAGATGAAAAATAAAAAATAATATATATATTATAATGAGAGAGAAGAAAAAATATGTGGAAAAAATATATATAAATAATGTTATAATTGTAAATTGCACATGAATTATTGAATAGATACCATAAAGCAAATCATCCTCCAAATTGTACTTTGAAGATCGACCTAAGAAAAGCATTTGATTCCATTCATTGGCAGTTCATAGTGGACACACTCCAATCATTTGGCTTCCATGCAGTCTTCATTAACTGGATTTCTCAGTGCATCACTACTCCCTCATTCTCAATCTCTTTTAATGGGGAACTCTTTGGTTTTTTCAAAGGTCGTAGAGGTATCAGACAAGGGGACCCCTTGTCCCCTATGTTGTTTATCCTTGCAATAGAGGTTCTAACTCTATGTGTCAATAATCACATTCAGAATAAGCCAATGTTTAAGTTCCACTGGAGATGTAAAAAATTATCCATCACTCACCTCACATTTACAGATGACATACTGATGTTCTCACATGCCAGCTTGTCCTCACTACAAGTTTTGATGGATGAATTGAATAAGTTTTGCAGTTTCTCATGTATGCAGCTCAATAGATCAAAGTCCAAGGTATTCTTATCAGGGGTTGACAACACATTGAAAGCTGATATTGTTTCCCTCCTTTAATTTGAATCAGCCACTCTTCCAATGATGTACTTGGGTTTACCACTCTCTTTTACTTCAATAAGGGCAAGGGATTGTCAAACCCTTATAGAAAAGATCACTGCTAGAGTTGGAAGTTGGACCTCAAAGTTCCTCTCTTATGCAGGAAGAGTTGTCCTTGTGAAATCAATACTTAGCTCCATCCAAGCTTATTGGTCCCAAACTTTTATTCTTCCAAAGCAGGTTCTTAAGCAGATTAATCAAATTCTTAGAAAATTCTTCTAGACTGGAGTCGATTTAAAGAACAATGGAGCTAAAGTGGCATGGCAGGCAATTTGCAGACCTAAAGTAAATGGGGGGCTTGGTTTTGCTGATCTTGAGCTGGCAAATAGAATTGCAAATTT